CTGCCGTTGACCATTGCTTTTTTCTGCTTGATACCATACATAACGATCAGTCAGAATTGTCTTTTTGCCTACAGTCGTTGTATTTACGGTCGCCAAGCAGTCTGCTCTGGTTAATGAGGGTCACGGAATCCACATTACAGCATACGCATGACATACTCCTACCTACCTTTTGACGTTGCCTCCATCCTGCTCCTTTTGTGAATGACAGGTATATTTGCAGAACCTTTGTGACCGCGAGGCGGCTGCACTCGAATACTGGGCCCGATCGCAGTGTCTTCATATTGCCGCAACGGTTCCATCTAAAGACAAAACGTATGTGTGCTTCTTGAGAACTTTCTGCCGCATTGTGGGCCGACGTTTACGTTTCCAGCTTTTAGGCAGCGGTCTTTAGCCTTTGCAATGCGTTATCAGTTTATTTGAGTTCAATGCATCTGTTACCTCAGCACTTTTCATTTTTATTTACCTCCGAAGTCACCTATGTTCCATAGGACGTTAATCCGATTGTCGGCGTTAAAATATATGAATTAGGTTATAGGTCCTTGCCATTTTATACTACCTAAACTGCCAACGCCTTACAGATTTTAATGTCTCCAACTACACGGCGAAACTGCTCTACGGCATTTCTACATCTGCCTTGTGAATTTACATTTGTTTTGAGATCTCCGTTACATAGCAGGACTTATTTGCAGACAGGTTGATTACTCAATCACGTCACTGTTAGTTGGGTTTTCAGTAACGGCCAGCAAGTTGCATTCAAATTTCAGAATCCTGAGCTGTTTGAGGTCTCTTAGATTTATTCTGCAGACTAATCAATACTGCAGAAGAACGTAAGAAATCCTTCCCAATGGAAAACCCATTTCCGAATTTTGATTATCATTTTGCGAGATTGTTCGGTCGAATGTTCCGTTTAATCTGACCGGCTTTGTTTCAAAATTTGAAATCCTTCTAATAAATTATATGTTTATTGAACCCGTCTAATCAAGCTTTCATCGTTTAATCCGAAATAGTAAGTAGAAAATCATTGACTGAGGTGAACTCTTGTATGTTTGAAATTGACTTACTCTGAGAAATCCCTTCCCGGAATTATACTTTCTGTTTACATACCAAGTTCGTTTAAATTTTTTCCAAACGCTATCTGATCCAACAGGTTTGAGAAAATGCACAGAGTGACCCAAGTTGAGCTTCCGCTGGAGCGTCTTACGACTGATCATAAGCCAGTAATGGTCATTGCGGTCACCGCTGTCTTTGTCGGTAGTGTTGATTTAACTATCTTACGCGCCGCTATGCGACTGCTGATTCGGCTCGAGAGAGAGCCCTAAGGCATAACGGGACGAGTGAGCTTCGTCGCAAAATCGATGCGTGTTCCCGATCGTAACCGACAGGACGACGAGCCCCCGGTTCAGTGGTTAGAGGCGTTGGATTTCTAACTAACAAGACGCAGGATCGAGCCCCAGGTGTTCCACAACTTGCAGTTTGGTACGCCTTGCTGACGACGACTTATAAGCAAAAAATGGACATTCCAGTCTCCCTTGTCTATGTCAGTAATGTTTTTATGACCAGATTAATTTCACCGCCCGGAGGCTGTGAAGGGCACAGATGTTTGCTCTATATAAAGCCTTCGCATGGTCATTTGAAATCAAACGTCCTATATAACATATACCTAACAAAATCCGGCCGCACCACTTTTACCCTGAACACCTTAGTATAAAACATGCTATAAATGTGTTATTGGGTTTTGCATAAGTGAACTACACATTGATTGTTCTAGCTCTCCAGTGAATTTTGCTAGGATTGTTAACCATTTCGCTATCTTCGAAAAAGTAAGGTCGGTTATAATTTTATAAATCGGAGTACTCTCATCGTCCCTATATATTTCATCGGAGTATTTCCAAAAAAATGTTTTCCAATTACTACTGCCAATGAGATGTGTAAAAAACCGCCTCAGTTGTACGTATGCTGTGAACATCAGTCAGTAAGCGGAACTGTTACATGTTTGCACATTCATAACAAAAAAATGATCTTCACCAAAAGTTTTTAATTTTTTTACGTAGTAAGCATCCGGACAAGATTAAAAGGCGCCAAAAACAATTTAAGTTCTGCTGGCTGACTCCATAGAAAACGACTTCTTCATTGCCAAAATTTGCTATTTTTGACGCCGAAAATTCTCGTTGTAATCTCTTTGTAATTGTGTATGACGTAGACCACCAAGATAACCGTCAACCATTGCAAAGACAAACCAACTGCGCTTACATTTCAAAAGCCCGTCAGTATCTCCATCTTCTTCAATTTGGTAAAGTATTTCCTCAACAAACTTGCACGTTAAATTTTACATTGAGCGTTCCACGTGACAATTGAGGATATATATAAGAATTGCCTAAATACCTATGCGGAATGTCAAAAAAAACACGGAATAACAGTTCCAATTTTTATGCAAACTCTCGGTTGGATCACATAAGCAAGACAATTTTCGCAAACAGATTTGAATCTCTTAGGTTACTTTAGATGCACAAACAAACATAATAGTTTCGCGTGCAAATTCGGCCGTTTTTATGGGTCGCATATAAGTCGCTTATCATCGCGGATGTTTAGGAAGACATAAGGGAATCAAACTATAGGACTGAATCTACCCTCTGAGTTATGGCTATTAAATATATACACATCTGAGACAAGGGTCAATCTGGATTCGGTTGATACTATTGAGTCTGAAAGGAAGAAACTGCATGCAAACACCCATGGCACCATTCTAACTCTCCTACGCAGTGCATGCTGTTAGCAGTGGGGGCTGCCGAAGTGGAACGATGGCAAAGCAGTCTGCAATCCACTTTTCCGGGGAACCCAGATGAACCATGGTCTGTGCTGACAAAACACGAACGCGACTTACTTCACCAACGTCGAGATCGAGGTGAGACATGACAATAAAGAACATCCAAATGTCTTTTAGGCCACGTGAATACAATTTGGTGCAGTCCACTGCACGCAACACAAGAATCAGGTCGCATGTGGCATATGTAGCCAGGTAGGTCTGATTTACTACCTTTTTCGCCAAGTCCACTTTCAGCTGCCTTGCAATTATATGTGCTCGCTTCAAAATGCGCAGACCAGTGCGCCCCTTCCGCTGATTGGTCTAGTTTGTGAGACAGCGGTGGACTTCATCCATGCCACAGTCGGCCTGTCAACCTCTACTTCTTCCAGAGTAACTTGCTGAGGATTTGCGTAGACTAAACTGCCTACTTTAAAGATGTTGTTTTTTAATTCCCGTTGGCTCAGACGGTACTGAAAGACCAATCCACATTTATGTTGATCTTTGACAGTGACATGGATGTTTTAGTAAACTACTGAGGCCAAAATATCGTAGGTGCATTTTAGCGGCCATCATTGCGGGATAGGAAACATATGAAAACTGAATGTTGCGATTCGTTAAATGGAAATACATTGTAATATGTTTAGCTCTGTGTAGCTCAGCACTTAGCAAACGGTAAACATTAGCAGCGGTATAGAACACCATAATTGCGGCATGAATACGTTTGTATATGAGCATATATCAGCCGTTACTAACCCAACCAAATTAGGGTAAACTTTAACACTAATTAAAGTCGTTTACATTGATTACGACGCAAATTCAGACAGGTCTTAAGGTTTCGCAATGATGGATTAATAGCTTTGCTGTCAGCAAGTGATGTGCATAATTACCGAAGCCCAAGTGAAAATAAGGATAGTGCCGGTGATATCACAGGTACTATTAATTCCCGTTAGTAGTGTGTTCGGATTGATGTTTAGAATCTGATGGTTGACATACAGTTGTAACTGAGAATCAGGCCATGCATTTTAGTTGCAAAGAACCTGAACGTTTATATTGTCGTAGAATCTTCGAATAAAGACAATAATCAGTAAGAATGGATTAAAAAAACGAAACTAAGCAAGCGTATTTTAATGATAGATGACTCCGGTATATTTGAAACGCGTGCATTTATTGTATTCATCTCTGTCCACAACAAACTTACTGTTTAAAGAACGTAATAGGCAATTGGTATCAGGATGACGGGCCAGCATTTGATCATATTTGCCTGCCCAACTAGTGAAAAAAACAGAATTGCGCATATAAACACGCATATATATATATATATATATATCAACATGAGTAAGGATTCTAAGTCCCGATATATTATCCTGTTCATCATCCCCAAAAGAAGACGAAGAAAAAGGGGCGATTACATGGACCACAGTGTATTGGTGTTGACGTTTCGGAATCTTCCTCGTTTCCACCATATACATTTATGTTTGCAAGTAAAGCTAATAATCTATGAAAATGCCGAATGGACGATAACCAAAACGCATCCACGATGGACACTGAGAGCATTATCTATCTGTCGAAAAATTACTTGCGTATGTATTTTATGTATGCTATGTGTATTAGCTATTTTCCTTCACTGAAAATAACGGGCATAAGAGGATGTCCTGGCGTTGGAATAAAAACTATATATATATATAGGCAGAATGGTATTACCGACAAAGACAAGGGAGACTGGAATGGCCATTTCTGGCTTATTAGCCGTCGTCAGCCAGCCATACCCAAGCCCGAAGTGTGGAGCACCCGAGCCTCGAACTCGCGACCTGTTGGTTTAGAAGTCAACGCCTCTACTCACCGGGCCACGAGCCCGTTGCCTTGTCATACATGATGGGCCACCAGACGCTGGGAGAAATTCTCACAGAGACAGGCGACGACATCCGATCAACTGACTTTCCTTCACCGTTGTCACGATCATGGCATCTTACCGAAGTCCCTTCGCTTCAAGCCCACTCTACCAAATGAGACAGGAAGGCTACTCGCACGCAAATACGGATTCCGTGTTTTGAGTGCCATTATATCAGACGTGCACCACCGACTTTCTAGATTTGAGACAATAATCTCCGACCTTAAGAACCAGTGCTTCTCATCCTTACCTGAAGATATCTTCGAAGCCATACTACAACGTATAAATGCGACCTCAACAGACGCCAGAATGAAGAAGCGAGCCGAGTTGAATGATAAACTGCAATCCCTTCTCTGTCCTACCGACAAGTGCAGCATGTCTGCGAGAGTCGTTAACCTTTCGAAAAGGAGTCTAACACCCGCCGAGATAAGCCTACTGTCAAAAGGACTTAAATTCAATCATACCGATGCAGCACCAACAAACTTCCTAGCGAGTCTTGAATCCGTCCTACTGGTTTCTGCTATCCCTGAAGACGTGCGTGCGGACATACGCAGTTGTGCCAGTGGTCTTCTTCGACAAAGGAAACGTCACCGTAACTTGACCATGGATGAAGAAAAAAGGTTGCGATCTCTGAAGACTGATGACAGTATCGTGGTTGTACCTGCTGACAAAGGAGGCGCAACCGTCATCATGGACAAGGCTGATTATGTTCGAAAAGCAAATACTATTTTTAATGACAGGGTAGCTTACGCACCACTCGCTGAGGACCCCACGAAGAAGCAGGCCGCGGTTATAAAGAAGAAGGTGAATGAACTCGCTCGACTGAAGCTGATTAACCCAAATGACTCCAAATGCATGACTCTCACTGATCCCCGTATCGCGCATGCCTATGGCCTTCCAAAAGTGCACAAACCAGACGCACCATTGAGGATAATAGTGCCACTCATCGGGTCGCCCACTTACAACCTAGCCAAATGGCTTTACAGGCATCTGAAGCACCTCGCTGATGGATCACAATACAGCATCACAAATTCTCAGGCATTCCTTCAAAGGATTGAAGGTCTTAAAGTAAGTCCTGATGAAAGTATACTATCATTTGATGTTGTCGCATTGTTTAGCTCAATACCACATAACCTTGCCATTGAGAGAGAGGCCCATCGCTTACGAGACAATCCGATCGACCTTCCAACACATCACGTTCTAGAATTGCTTAAGCTCTGCCTCAATAACTATTGCCAATTCGATGGCGAATACTACCAGCACACTTCGGGCTTGGGTATGGCTGGCTGACGACGGCTAATAAGCCAGAAATGGTCATTCCAGTCTCCCTTGTCTTTGTCAGTAATACCATTCTGCCTATATATCATGCGCCGCTGTGCGGCTGCTGGTTGGGCTCGAGAGAGAGTCCATAAGGCACAACGGAACGAGTGAGTTCCGTATGAACGATCGGTGAGCGCCCCCTAACATTGTATATTCCCGATCGAAAACCGACAAGGCAACGGGCTCGTGGCCCGGTGAGTAGAGGCGTTGACTTCTAAACCAACAGGTC